TGCGTGCTAAATTTGTACACAAACAACAACATTAGCAACCGCCTTGCCTCCGCAAAACTGCGTAGACTCCATTTCACACATCCCATGCGACTCGTCAATCTATCCTCGTTTACAAGACCCAATCTGCTGTGCCGGTAATTGAACGGAGTTTATAAAATGATTAACCGATTTAACTAATGTAAACCTCGTGTCTACATTACCCCCCCTTGCAATCGGACGATGACCCATCGTTAACAGCAGACTCCGACTGCTCCTTATTAAAATTTTGAACAGGACGTTTCCTTAGTGGACGTGAATCTGCAGAGACTAAAACGAAAGTAAAGGTGAAAGAAAAAGAAGTTTAACGTGTAACTTAAAGAACCGTTATCAGCAAAAAGAAATCAGAATGAATACCGTCATTGATAAGTTAAAATGAAACGAAAGTACAGAAAAGAGAAAGTACAGAAAGAGAAAAAGAGAAATGAGTAATACTGCATTTAACAATAATACTGTGGCACGTGTCAAAAACAAATACAATAATAATATTTCAAAAGTCATTTTTATTTTACATAAACATTAGTATATTATGGGTTATTCGTTATGCGTAAGATAGTCGTCCGGGAATGCTGGCGGCATCGTGAAGGGGGGTTTCGGGTGGCCCCTTGCGCCCCGTGCTGCATAGGCCGCCCAACGAGGCAACCCCCGCAGGCTCGAAGCGCGCATCGGTGTAGTTCTTAGGTGGCGGCACTCCGGCGGTCCATAGTAGTGGTCCACCCAGTCGTCGAGTGCGGCGCGTCTCTGTGGCTCGGGCTGGTCGTCGCTCTTCTCGGGGCCGTTGTTGAGAGCCTGTGTGGGCGGACTGTCCCAGCATTCCGGTGTGTCAGGTGTCGTGGGCGTGGGCTGGTCATCCCACTGGTCCACTGTGTCGGGTGACGGTGGTGGCGAAGTCGGGCGGAGTGTAAACTCCCTCGCACGATACTGGTCGTGGAAGCGGTGGGGGTAGTCGCGTCTAAATCGATCGCGGAAGATGCAGGCGGTGAGACCCGCACCTCCCCCCCGCAACTGGGTCCATGGCTGTGGCACCCAGGGTGTGGCTCCCGTGTGCGGCAGATCATAGGGATCAAGTCGGTCTGGGATCGGCAGTACATCGAAGGTCAATCGTGTCGGAACGCTCATGATGATGTGTCTGATGTTAAATTAGTAATGTTAATATTGAAAATCATTCAATAGAAATTCACAACGAGTGAAATCATTCACGTGATCATTATGTAATGGTGTTTAAGAAACCATCAACGAAACTTGGTTACTTTAGCAAGAGCACACAGCATGCTACGAAATAAGCCAAGCATTTAACTGAACAGAAAATCTCACAAGATTTTAGTATCTTACAATTGAAGATTTAGCTTGTAAGCTTGCAAATATACTCGAAATCAAACCATACTCATTCCTGCATGTGACAACACAT